AAAGTGATGCACATCCCCATAGAAAATTCCTCTAGGGCTTCTTCAAGATTATACTCTCTTGCCAGCCCCAGATATTTACGTGCAATCCAACAGCAGGCTGTATGCAAATGAGAACAAAGACGAAGAGTTTTCGACGAACTTATTGTGGGGGAGATATTAGTGGCTGCTTTGGGGGCGCTGAATGGTATAGGGATTCAGACTATATAGAAACCATTCAGAAACCCTAAGCCTAAGGCCCAAACACGCATTTGTGGAGAAAAAATGTCTGGAAAAATTCATAAGTAACAGAATAAGTATCCCCTATTTAAAAATTAAGAAAATAAGTTTGAAATTTCAAAAATAAGATTTTTATTAAATTTTATTATGATTTAATTAATTAATTACTTATGATTTAATTAATTAAATATAATGATGTCATNTAAATTTTATTATGATTTAATTAATCAATTAAATTTAATAAATATGATGATGTCATAATTATACAATTAATGGTCACATGTACAAAATTAATTGGTCACGGATTATTTTTGGAGTCACAAATCAAAAATTTTATGGGTCACGAATTATTTCGAAATCACAAATCAAAAATTTTAATTGTTACGAATTATTTCGAGGTCAATTGGTCACAATTTGTTTATTGGTCACAGATCAAAATTCTTGAAGGTCACGAATTATTTTAAAGTCGCAAATCAATAATTTTATAGGTCACAGATTATTTTATTGGTCACAGATCAAAAAATTACAGATCACAGATTAATTTTTAGTCACTAATTGTCGAATTTTAAGGTTGCGGATAGTCCATTATGCGGTCACAGTTAGTCTAATCTATGACCACCGTTAACAGTTGTGACCACGAGTTCAACGTTGTCTCTAAAAGCATCACCACCACCGTCCACCGCCACCACTACACCAACAGCGCCCATGCAACCACCAGATCCACCACCATCACCCACCTCCACCGCCGAGGCACTGCACACCAACAGAGTGGCCACCATCACCACGGTACCACCAC